GTGGTGTCCGGTCTTCCCAGCACTCTTTGTCATATAACGTTTTTGAAACTACTGACGGTCTTGGCCTCCACCACCTTCTCACCTAACTTGTTCCACCTTGTGTGTGTGTGTGTGTGTGTGTGTGGTGTGTGTGTGTGTGTGTGTGTGTGTAGTTGTGTGTGTGTTTTTGTTGTCGGCCCGTGTTTACTAACTACTATTTTTTTTTTCCCCACACACACACACACACACACCCCAGGAAGCAGCCCGTGACAGCTGTGTGTGTGTGTGTGCCCATTTGTTTCTGTGTGAATCGAACCCGCGCCACAGTGTGTCCACCAGGTGTACATGTGTGTGTGTGTGTGTGTGTGTGTGTGTGTGTGTGTGTGTATGTTGGCTGTTGATTGTTTTGTCGAGATTGTTTAATGTGTAGTGCTTCAGCAATGTCTAATCTTCCTTTGTTCTATTATTGTTAATATTTCAGTGTTGTTGGTCAAGATATCAGGATAACTACAGTGTTGTGTGTAGCAATTCTATGATCATTAACGAAGTCGTGCTGCTTGTGCATCGTAAGGTACATCGTAAGGTTTGTGTAAGGTCGTAAGGTTTGTGTAAGGTCGTAAGGTTTGTGTAAGGTCGTAAGGTTTGTGTAAGGTCGTAAGGTTTGTGTAAGGTCGTAAGGTTTGTGAAGGTCGTAAGGTTTGTGTAAGGTCGTAAGGTTTGTGTAAGGTCGTAAGGTTTGTGTAAGGTCGTAAGGTTTGTGTAAGGTCGTAAGGTTTGTGTAAGGTCGTAAGGTTTGTGTAAGGTCGTAAGGTTTGTGTAAGGTCGTAAGGTTTGTGTAAGGTCGTAAGGTTTGTGTAAGGTCGTAAGGTTTGTGCATGGTTTGTGGTATATATACGCAAGAGACGTCTTGCGTATATATACCTGGATGGGGTTCTAGAAGTTCTTCTTCTCCTCAAGCCCGGCCCGGAGCCAGGCTCGACTTGTGAGAACTTGGTCCAACAGGCTGTTGCTTGGAGCGACCCGCAGGCCCATGTATCCACTACAGCTCGGTTGGTCCGGCACTTCTTGCAGAAAACTGTCCACTTTTCTCTTGAAGACTTTCCCCTTTTGTTCCGGCAATATTTCTTATACTCGCTGGAAGGATGTTGAACAACCGTGGACCTCTGATGTTTATACAGTGTTCTCTGATTGTGCCTATGGCACCTCTGCTCTTAACCGGCTCTATTCTGCACTTTCTCCCATATCGTTCACTCCAGTATGTTTATTTTACTGTGTAAATTTGGGACCTGGTCCTCCAGTATTTTCCACGTATATATCATTTAATACATATCGTCTATTTCTCGGGAGTTAATTTTGAGAATTCGGCACAGTCGCAATAATTTAGGAGCTTTATCGTGCGTGTGTGTGTGCGCGCCGTATATGTTTTCTGTACTCCCTCTATTTCTGTACTCCCCTTTATTTCAGCAACCTCTCCTGCTTTGACGGTGGAAGTGGAGTACTGAGCAGTACTCTAAGACGGGACAGTACAAGTGATTTGAAGAGTCCAACCATTGTGATGGGATCCCTGGATTTGACAGCTCTCGTAATCCATCCTATCGTCTCGTTGGGGGGGGGGGGCGGACAGTCCCCCAGCGAGAAGATAGGTAGGCAGGTGAAAGCATATCCCGCCAAACACACACCGAAACTACGACGTTGGTGCAACGTTCGAACAAGTTTTAACACCTCCTAACCAGTTATAACAACCAATATATCAAGTTGTAACAACGTTCTAATACGTTATAAACACGTTAAGCCAAGATGTAACAACTTTATTACAAGTTGTAACAAGCGGAAAATAGAGACAGTTTCGGTTTGTGTTTCCAGGGATAGACTAGACCATCATCTCTTTCAAGGCGCTTCGCTTTGTGTCGAGAGACGTCTTGAGAAAGTTGGCGGTCATCTTGTCCTTGGGGTAGAGGGCCAGCACCTTCCTCCTGGTTACTGTCGGTGGAGGTCAAGTTTCTGCCAATAATGGCTTTTAATACTCTTTTATTTTCCCCTTTAGTTTTGCGAGCCAGTGAAAATAAATTCCTGTTGATTAGTTTCATAATGGAGGCAGATACTGTAGTATTTGTTGGCCGTTTCATCAGAGGTAACAAGGTGATTCTTCCCTTTACTGATGTCTTGTGATTGGGTAGAGAGAGGCTAAGAAGGTGCTGATAGACTGTGTAGAGAGTCTTGGAAGGTGCTGATAGACTGTGTAGTGAGGCTTGGAAGGTGCTGATAGACTGTGTAGAGAGAGGCTAGGAAGGTGCTGATAGACTGTGTAGAGAGAGGCTTGGAAGGTGCTGATAGACTGTGTAGTGAGGCTTGGAAGGTGCTGATAGACTGTGTAGAGAGGCTAGGAAGGTGCTGATAGACTGTGTAGAGAGGCTAGGAAGGTGCTGATAGACTGTGTAGAGAGGCTTGGAAGGTGCTGATAGACTGTGTAGAGAGTCTTGGAAGGTGCTGATAGACTGTGTAGAGAGGCTTGGAAGGTGCTGATAGACTGTGTAGAGAGGCTAGGAAGGTGCTGATAGACTGTGTAGAGAGGCTTGGAAGGTGCTGATAGACTGTGTAGAGAGAGGCTAGGAAGATGCTGATAGACTGTGTAGAGAGGCTTGGAAGGTGCTGATAGACTGTGTAGAGAGGCTTGGAAGGTGCTGATAGACTGTGTAGAGAGGCTAGGAAGGTGCTGATAGACTGTGTAGAGAGGCTTGGAAGGTGCTGATAGACTGTGTAGAGAGGCTAGGAAGGTGCTGATAGACTGTGTAGAGAGGCTAGGAAGGTGCTGATAGACTGTGTAGAGAGGCTAGGAAGGTGCTGATAGACTGTGTAGAGAGGCTTGGAAGGTAGTGATAGACTGTGTAGAGAGGCTTGGAAGGTAGTGATAGACTGTGTAGAGAGGCTAGGAAGGTGCTGATAGACTGTGTAGAGAGAGGCTTGGAAGGTGCTGATAGACTGTGTAGAGAGGCTAGGAAGGTGCTGATAGACTGTGTAGAGAGGCTAGGAAGGTGCTGATAGACTGTGTAGAGAGGCTTGGAAGGTGTTGATAGACTGTGTAGAGAGAGGCTTGGAAGGTGCTGATAGACTGTGTAGAGAGGCTAGGAAGGTGCTGATAGACTGTGTAGAGAGGCTTGGAAGGTGTTGATAGACTGTGTAGAGAGAGGCTAGGAAGGTGCTGATAGACTGTGTAGAGAGGCTTGGAAGGTGCTGATAGACTGTGTAGAGAGAGGCTAGGAAGGTGCTGATAGACTGTGTAGAGAGAGGCTAGGAAGGTGCTGATAGACTGTGTAGAGAGAGGCTAGGAAGGTGCTGATAGACTGTGTAGAGAGAGGCTTGGAAGGTGCTGATAGACTGTGTAGTGAGGCTTGGAAGGTGCTGATAGACTGTGTAGAGAGGCTATACGAAGCTGCTGATAGATTGTGAGAGATGAGGACAGCTGTGATAGATTGCGTGAGAGGCGAGAAGAGGGCCTCATAACTCTCAGTGTGAGAGCGAGGCAGTGGTGGACCCGGGCACGCCTCCCTCATCGTTCCAAGTTAAAGCTGATGCTTCTACCATGAGGTTGGTTAGACGACCCCCCGTCCACCCTCTCCCTCTCCCTCTCCCTCGACCCCTCACCTCTCACTTCTTACTCTCCCTCAAGCCTCGTCTGCTTCAATTACCAACAACCACAATCTCTCGCCTCGTGTGGGGTCCTCTCAATGACCCCCGGACCTGGGGTCTTCCTGTGACCCCGGATCTGGGTCTTCCTGTGACCCTTGACTTGAGGTCTTCCTGTGACCCTTGACTTGAGGTCTTCCTGTGACCCTTGACTTGAGGTCTTCCTGTGACCCCTGATCTGGGTCTTTCTTCCTATCACTGTCATCTGGCATGGCTCCTGCTCTTGTCACCATCCTAGTATGTGGTGATGGACCACCAGAAAGGACCAATATGTGGTGATTGACCACCAGAAAGGACCAATATGTGGTGATTGACCACCAGAAAGGACCATTATGTAGGAATGGACCACCAGAAAGGACCAATATGTAGTGATTGACCACCAGAAAGGACCAATATGTAGGAATGGACCACCAGAAAGGACCAATATGTAGGAATGGACCACCAGAAAGTACCCATATGTGGTGATGGACCACCAGAAAGTACCAATATGTAGTGATGGACCACCAGAAAGTACCAATATGTAGTGATTGACCACCAGAAAGTACCAGTACCCCCCCCCCCTCCGCCCCCCATCCCATCCCATCCCATATCCTGATCTTTTCCCAATGCTATATAGTCGTAATGGCTTGGCGCTTTTCCCCTGATAGGATATACATCATAGTCACGTAAGGGCCGGTTAAGGTTTATGTGGTCAATGGTTCGAGATTGTCTAGGTGAATGAAATGTTATTTTCAGGTGAATGAAATGTTATTTTCAGGTGAATGAAATGTTATTCAGAATAAGCACTAACACAGTGAAGAATGCAATGTTGTTTCTGCATTACTGGATCAGCGTTTTTTTTTTTGTTTTACCATTTTTTGTTATCTTGTGTGTATATGTGTTTTTGGAATACCTTGACTCTAGGGGCTGGCGATAGCAGGTACAAATGATATCTGAAAATTCCAGCCAGAATCAAACCACTTCAAAAAAAAATATAATGTCCTAATATTCTTAAGAAAAATCACATAATACCAAAAAAATACATAAAATTATGGATTTTGGTTGCTGTAATGCTTGTAAAAAAAAAATATTATTTGGAAATCTTAACGAAAGGGATATATATATATATATATATATATATATATATATATATATATATATATATATATATATATATATATATATATATATGTCAAATATATTTGCTATATGTAATAAACTGGCAAAGCTATCCTGGTGACCTTTTAGTCTTGCAATATTAATATCTTGCAACATGTGTAATTCTCCAGATGAGTTATATATCTATATTATTATATCTCTCATATATATATATCTCTCTCTCCTTAAATCCACCTTAGAACCCTCTTCAACCACACGCCGCAGCGCCCTTACCTGAATACAAAACCGCCAGCATCCAGAAGTCTCGCTTCATCCTCACCCACTACGGGATGCTAAAAACTTGCTGGGACCTGGTCATCCTCCTGGCTACTTTCTACGTCGCGGTCACTGTCCCTTACAACGCCGCCTTCCTCGTCAACACGAACCAGCAGGACAAGCCGACTATTGTCCCCGACGTGGTGGTGGAGGCGCTCTTCCTGGTTGGTTAGTGCTTCTGGTTTTGTGGGGGGGGGGGGGGGGTTGTGATGCTGGAAGAGCAAAAACCAAAACTAGTCGGTATATTAATTTTTTTCAGCCCTTTTATATGTAATGTTTCGATTGTTTGTGTAAGTTTTCAACCTTTTTTTTGTATAAATGTAGATTTTCAAGCCCAAGATATTTGCAGTCAAAAAACACAAAAGGAAGGGGGGTGGTAGGAGAAAAGCACACAGAAACTGTATTGGAGGGGACCTAAGCATTGTTGACCAGACCACACACTAGACGTTGAAGGGACGACGACGTTTCGGTCCGTGCTGGACCATTGTCAAGTCGATTGGTCCAGGACGGACGGAAACGTCGTCGTCCCTTCACCTTCTAGTGTGTGGTCTGGTCAACATACTTCAGCCACGTTATTGTGACTCATCGCCGACCTAAACATTCCCTCTAATGCGTTATGTGTGCTTTCCTCCGAGGCTATGGGTCCCCCTTCTTCCAGCCAGAGGTGGTACTCCCTTCCCTATTCACACTGTCTAGAGATTTTTTAGGAGCAATATCGCCATATTTTGGTGAGGGGAAGAGTAGGTCACCACGTGAGGGGGGGGGGGTGACATGTGGTGTGTGTGGAGGGGGGGGGGAGGGGAGTTAAGGGACACCTGACACATGTGTCCACCCCCCCCTCCCCCACCACCAGACCTCCACCTGTGTCTAATTTATCAGCGGCTGTGTTGACACCTGCTCCCTCACCGCCCCCCCCACCCCCTCCTCCTCCTCTCTACCTTACATCCTCAACCCCCCCCCCTCCCCCTTCTTCGAACCCCCCCCCTTTCTTCCCTAGTCCCCCCCTCCCCCCAATCCTCATCTCCAACCAGCACATGCACCTGTCAACTGATAAAACTCAACTCTCGACAAAGTTCAGTGTATCTGGCAAATATATATATGAAACTCTAATATCATTCATGTTAGCTTTTAATATTTACACTGCAAAGAGATATATGTAAATGTTTGATGTTTAGCACAATCTGATGCGAGTGTACGCACGCACGCACACGCATGCCTGCACGCACACGCACACAAAGTAAATACAATCGAACACCAATCAAACCCCCCTCCCCCCCTTACTATACAATCACCAAGACAAAGGAGAAATGTAGTTGATTTGATAACGAAAACTTGTCTAAATATCTGGGTACACAAATGCTGATGGCATCTCAAACAAAGTCATTGAGATAGCGGACAAAGCAAAATCCAAAATGTACAAACATTGATGTAAATAATGTCCGAATTTATTGCATAAAATTTTGAAGAAACAATTTTACACAAGAGGCGGAGGAATACACTTTTGATAAGAATTACAGGTTTTTTTGAGGAATTTGCAAAAACCAATCGGAAATTGTATGAAAAAATGCTTAGAGATGAGTCTGAAGATCTCGGCAAGGCAGCCATAAGTATAATCCATAGTGTAGGATAACGTTGGCTACTACAATGATGGAAAAGGTTGGTTATTAGAATGATAAAAAAACGTTGGCTACTAGAATGATAGAAAACGTTGGTTACTAGAATGATAGAAAACTGTAGGTATTAATATGAGGGGAAGACTATCCTAATCATAAAATCAGGCACTATTCAGCTTGAATAAGGTTTGTATATGTCATGTTTGCTTATAACACACACACACATTTTTAGTATAGTCAGCTGGAGGAATTTGAGGGAGAAAAGGGATAGGGGGGGAATAGGTTGGTGAAAGGATGGATCTTGAGATGCAGGATGGGTGGAATAGCACACACACACACACACACACACACACACACACACACACACACACACACACACACACACACACACACACACACACACACACACACAATTATCTTGGCAGAAGTTATTAAGACATTAAGAGGGGCTAGATGTTGGCCTACACAACGAAACACTTTCACGCACAAATCTTTCTCCTCATAACTGTCTTGGGAAGCTTATATATATTTGCCCACCACTCTCAGGCTGGTTAGATATTCCCGGTTTGTGGGGGGGTTGGGAGGGGCGTGGAGGGGGGTTGGGGGGCGTGGGGGGGTTGGGAGGGGCGTGGGGGGGTTGGGAGGGGCGTTGGGGGGGGGGTCACCAAACTTTGCAGAGTGATTTGTAATTATTAAGTGTCATAGCATGGTTTGGGGTCGACCTCCCTCCCCATGCCCCCTTTTATGAAGGCTTGGCTCCTATTCCAATAATTTTGAACGTCCTAGAAGTCTGAAATGTGGGGTTTGTATATAGTGTTCAGCAGATGTGACGACTGATAAAGACTCTGAATCAATGTCGATAATGATGATTTGTTCCTTCCCGTTCTCTCTTCTACGGAAGGGAGAGGGAGAGAGAGAGAGAGGAGAGAGAGAGAGAGAGAGAGAGAGAGAGAGAGAGAGAGAGAGAGAGAGAGAGAGAGAGAGAGAGAGAGAGAAACAGGAGGGGAAGGGAGAGGGGGAGAGAAAGAGAGGCAGAAGAAACGAGAGAGAGAGAGAGAGAGAGAGCCTGGCCCGGCATGATATATAGCATATCTAGTATTGAATTATTTCAAGTAGCCTCATGGTGACCATTTTTTGGGAAAATGATGGTTGATAGCTGGCCCAAGTCATCGTCTCCCTGGCCCAAGTCATCGTCTCCCTGGCCCAAGTCATCGTCTCCCTGGCCCAAGTCATCGTCTCCCTGGCCCAAGTCATCGTCTCCCTGGCCCAAGTCATCGTCTCCCTGGCCCAAGTCATCGTCTCCCTGGCCCAAGTCATCGTCTCCCTGGCCCAAGTCATCGTCTCCCTGGCCCAGGTCGTATAGTCACTCCTAAACATTCCAGCAAGATAATGTGGATAAAACTTAGCAGAGATTACAAAGTTATATTACAAAAGAGAGTTGGCACGTCGCGAGAACATGCCAAGTCTTCCTGGTTCCCTAGTATGGTTCCAGTGGCACAGTGGTCTTGGATTCACAACCGCGGGTGGAAATGGTTGGGCAACGTTTCCTTCACCTGATGCCTCTTGTTAACCGAGCAGTAAAGTCGGTACCTGGGAAGGCAAGGGTTCTGGGCGGTTACCTTGAGGTGCTTCCTTGAGGTGTTTCCGGGGCTTAGCGTCCCCGCGGCCCGGTCGTCGACCAGGCCTCCTGATGGGAGGATGCGACCTGTGAATGGCCGGTTCTTGACCTTGGGTAGGGTAGGGGGGGGGCGGACCAAGAAATCACTAAGTTTAGGCTTCCTGTCCCCCTACAACTGGACTTGTTATTGTTATTATAACCCTAAGATAACCAAATGTAATCCCCCCACCGTGATAACAATGTGCTTCAGAGATCTGGCGAGTTTGAAGTGTAAACATTTTACATATAAAGTGATTGAAAATATTCTCATATTCCTTACTTTATGGCAACTCGCAAGGTTAAGTAAAAAAAGTAATTGGTATTTTTTATTTTTTTTTTCTGAAGAGGTTATTTTTTTTTTATCGGGAGTCTCCTTCAGATATTGCTGACAGAATCACGATATCCGAGGAATTTTTAGTATCCGTATATTGATTGCGTCTCGGAACAGGTCCGTTTAATACGCCTCGGAACAGGTCCGTTTAATAGCCTCATCGGCGCGCTAATTTGCTTCACTTTCCAGCATGAGCTCTCTCAGCTATTGCTTAATTAATCTACACACTACTACATCTACACATGGGAGCCGGTCGGCCGAGTCGGTCGCCGGTCGGCCGAGCGGACAGGACACTGGGCTTGTGATCCTGTGGTTCCGGGTTCGATGCCGGGCACCGGCGAGAAATAATGGGCAGAGTTTCTTTCATCTGTTATGCCCCTGTTACCTAGCAGTAAAATAGGTACTTAGTGTCCCCGCGGCCCGGTCCTCGACCAGGCCTCCACCCCCCATGAAGCAGCCCGTAGCAGCTGTCTAACTCCCAGGTACCTATTTACTGCTCGGTAAGATGGGCATCAGGGTGAAAGAAACATTTTGCCCATTTGTCTCAGCCTCCACCGGGGATCGAACCCGGAACCTCAGGACAACGAATCCGAAGCGCTGTCCACCCAGCTGTCAGGCGGTAGGGAGGACTTACCTATGTCTTCTTATGTAGCGAGTATATTACATAAACAATATTCTCGCTCCAAACTCTCATTTAGCTTAATGAGATAAGTCTACTTAATCCACTAATGACGAAACTCGTAGCGCTTCACTAATTACACTTAATACTTCTTCCCTAACATTTGCAATTCTTTTACCCATGTCGTAGCTTAGTCGATTAAGGCAGCGTCTGGGATCCTCTCGGACGTAGGTGCGAATCCTCGTCACGGCCCTTGTGGATATGTTCACTTCTTCCCTAACCTGGTAGAAGACGATGAGCACGAGAACATGCAGATTGATGAAGATTAAGCCACCCAAAAGATGGCACGGGCATGAATATCTCGTAAGTGGTGGCCCTTTTGAGCCATTACCAGTATCAAGAGCTGATACTGGAGATCTGTGGAGGTGCGACTGCACCCTGCGTGACGGGAGATGTCTCCCGTGAGAGAACATGATTGATAAAGATTAAGCCACCCAAGAGGTGGCACGGGCATGAATAGCCCGTAAAGAGAACATGCACAGTGTGGTCTGATTATATCAGCAGCCGATAGCAAATAGTATTTTACGGGATATTCATGCCCGTGCCACCTCTTTGGTGGCTTGAGCTGCATCAGTCAATGGTCATCAGTATGATGGCCTCAGTGGTTCAGTTAACTTAGACGCTGGGGAGTTACCACACACCTTCAACCTCAAGAATGTAACACCCGACCCCAAGACTCTTCAGCTTCGAGGCAGAGCAGATAGCGGAGTCGTACCGCCTCGAACTCCCACGCTTCTGTTCGTCCATCCAGTGGCCGATCCCACTGATACATTTCAGCAGTTTTAACCAGCCCGTCCTTCAAACAAAGACCTAAAAGTGATTCCATGTAGCCGCCAAACCCCCTGTTTATAAATGAAAAACGGTTTACACACGACTCACAACTGCTGACGTTCGAACACTTCCGGAACAAGTGCTTCATTGACGAATTTTGTTCGAACCACAACGCTGTAAATGCTTCACCCACGTACTACAAATACAAATAATCGCCAACAGAACCTAAACACCTAACCTAACCTATGTCTATATATCCACAATATGCTATTATAATATTAATTTATATTTGAGAAAATTCCCGTTTTGAATGAACAGCATGATAAAATTTATGAATGCGTCTGTGGGGTCGACCGCTGGATGTAATGGACTTGAGTCGAGGACGGGTTGCTTAACATGCTGTGAACTGAAATTCGGTATTTTGTATAAATTAGCATTACTTGAATTTGGTGTATAGTTAAGCCTAAATTAGGTTAGGTTAGGTGTTTAGGTTCTGTTAGCAATTACTTGTATTTGCAGTACGTTAACAAGGGAAGGGAACTATCAGGGGGAAAGCACCAAGTCATTACGACTATATAGCGCTGGGAAGGGGTCAGGATAAGGATTTGGGATGGGACGAGGGGAAGGAATGGTGCCCCAACCACTTGGACGGTCGGGGATTGAACGTCGACCTGCATGACGCGATACCGTCGCTCTACCGTCCAGCCCAAGTGGTTGGACAGTAAGTTAACAAGTGTTTGAACGTCATTAAGTAACACTGACAGCCCCTCACCTGTCCTCATCAACAAAGGCGAAATGTTCGTTAATCCAACCCCCCAAACCCCGTTTATGAAGGTGCTCTAACTCAATACTGTAGGCCTATGTGTTCCACGACAATAATAATCCAGCCTAATACTGTAGGCCTATGTGTTCCACAATAATAATCCAGCCTAATACTGTAGGCCTATGTGTTCCACGACAATAATAATCCAGCCTAATACTGTAGGCCTATGTGTTCCACGACAATAATAATCCAGCCTAATACTGTAGGCCTATGTGTACCATAACTGGTTCTATAGATATCGTGGGGGGGGGGGAAATATTGGGTTAATATTAATGATTAACCTATAATTAACAATTGTTGGTTGCCCTCAGACATAATGCTCAACTTCCGGACAACATTCGTGAACAAGAAGGGGGAGGTGGTGTTGAGCCCCATCAGGATAGCCACCCACTACGTCAAGGGATGGTTCGTCCTCGACCTTGTGGCCGCCATGCCCTTCGACCTCCTCCTCGCCGCTGATGTCTACAGCTCCGTAAGTAATTTTAATTGTCCACATTTCCCTTCCTAAGTGTCCTCCCCTCCCCCCCCCCCCAGGCATCCCGTCCTCCTAGAAGGTTTCCCAACGTCAAGATTGATGAAGATTAAGCCACCCAAAAGGTGGCACGGGCATGAATATCCCGTAAGTGGTGGCCCTTTTGAGCCATTACCAGTATCAAGAGCTGATACTGGAGATCTGTGGAGGTGCGACTGCACCCTGCGTGACGGGAGATGTCTCCCGTTGACCCAACGTCAAGAAACTGTCGTGGTAAAGTGGCCCTCCCCCCTTGTCCTAATCTTCCTGAGGACCCTAAACAGAAAATGGGTCAGTGGGTCAGTTTCGCGAGCCGCTGCTATTTTCTAGTACGACGTTTTTTTGACGTAAGTAGAGCATACGTCAACATGCGACGTTCCTTTAGGAGGATGGGTTGGTTCATGTCTTTTGAGGTGTGTTCTCTCCTATATCCCGGTATAGCAGTACTGGTACATTTACTATTTTATAGAATAAAATGAGTCTACCTCATAGTGAAGTAGTCGTGTCGTCTACGACTACCTCACTCTTTGTAGTCGTTTGTCTGCGTGTCCAGTATTACCCCTACAAACGTTTAAGCTTAGAATACCCTACAAACGTTTAAGCTTAGAATACCCTACAAACGTTTAAGCTTAGAATACCCTACAAACGTTTAAGCTTAGAATACCCTACAAACGTTTAAGCTTAGAATACCCTACAAACGTTTAAGCTTAGAATACCCTACAAACGTTTAAGCTTAGAATACCCTACAAACGTTTAAGCTTAGAATACCCTACAAACGTTTAAGCTTAGAATACCCTACAAACGTTTAAGCTTAGAATACCCTACAAAAGTTTAAGCTTAGAATACCCTACAAACGTTTAAGCTTAGAATACCCTACAAACGTTTAAGCTTAGAATACCCTACAAACGTTTAAGCTTAGAATACCCTACAAACGTTTAAGCTTAGAATGTTGTTCCGGCAGACCTTCCAGGCGACCAACATCCACCTGCTTAAGCTGACGCGGCTCCTGCGGCTGGCGCGCCTCCTGCAGAAGATGGATCGTTACTACCAGTACTCGGCCCTCATCCTGACGCTCCTCATGCTCTCCTTCAGCCTCGTCGCCCACTGGCTCGCCTGCGTCTGGTACGCCATCGCTGAGGACGAGATGCAGAGACCCCAGGCTGAGATTGGTGAGTGAGGCAGAGAGAGCCCCTCAGGCAGAGATTGGTGAGTGGTGCAGACACACCCCAGGCTGAGATTGGTGAGTAGTGCAGACACCCCCCCCCAGGCTGAGATTGGTGAGTAGTGCAGATACGCCCCCCCCCCAGGCTGAGATTGGTGAGTAAGGCGTGTCACTCTGCCCTATTGAGCTCTCCTGAGCTGGCGGAGTTGTGTCCCAGACCATCCTTCAGACTATAGGGCTGTGTGTGTGTCCCAGACCATCCTTCAGTCTATAGGGCTGTGTGTGTGTCCCAGACCATCCTTCAGTCTATAGGGCTGTGTGTGTGTCCCAGACCATCCTTCAGACTATAGGGCTGTGTGTGTGTCCCAGACCATCCTTCAGACTATAGGCCTGTGTGTGTGTCCCAGACCATCCTTCAGACTATAGGCCTGTGTGTGTCCCAGACCATCCTTCAGACTATAGGCCTGTGTGTGTCCCAGACCATCCTTCAGACTATAGGCCTGTGTGTGTGTGTCCCAGACCATCCTTCAGACTATAGGGCTGTGTGTGTGTCCCAGACCATCCTTCAGTCTATAGGCCTGTGTGTGTGTGTGTAGCAAATTGTGGGATTTATTAAGGGATTCTTCGTCCACACCACCTTCCTATTCCCTTCTTGTCGCTTATCCACCAATCTCTGCCACCTATCCTCCACTATCCCCCCCCCCCCCCAGGCATCAAGGTATTTATTTTGGGGGTGGGGGGCATTCCAGGGCCTACCTGAAAAAGGCATTTCACTACATTCAACACTGTATTATTGCACATTTAATCGCGTTGATGTTGTGCTCACAGGGTGGATCTACGACCTGGCCAAGAGGCTGGAGACGGACGTGAGGAACGTGACCATCTCTGAGAAGTACGTGACGGCGCTCTACTTCACCTGCTCCTCCCTCACCTCCGTCGGCTTCGGCAACGTCTCTGCCAACACCAACCGGGAGAAGATCTTCAGCATCATTACCATGCTCATTGGAGGTTCGCTCGCACTCTAATTCGCGCCCAAATTCCTGCCCGTGACGCTGTGGGTGATAGTGGCCTTGCAAGAAACGAAACTTATTGCCCGAAACGCTCTGCGTAATAGTGGTTTTAGGCATTGTATGTACTCGCTCTATCTATTAAATCAAACAAACTTTGTAAAATCTCTTTATGTACGTACCTTACCTAAATAAACATTTATTTATTTATTTATAAGAATGGAAAAACATCACTGCTATGTACTCTCATATAAAGCTTCACTGTACCTTCTTGTATATAATAAAAACTTGTATCTTACTCGTACAAGGACCATTGGGTGTTGTATTAGGACCCTGAGTGTTGTATTAGGACCCTGGGTGTTGTATTAGGACCCTGAGTGTTGTATTAGGACCCTGGGTGTTGTATTAGGACCCTGAGTGTTGTATTAGGACCCTGGGTGTTGTACAGAGTTGACTAGGACCCTGGGTGTTGTATGTAGGACCCTGGGTGTTGTATTAGGACCCTGGGTGTTGTATTAGGATGTTGTATTAGGTCCCTGGGTGTTGTATTAGGACCCCAGGATGTTGTAGTACCCTGGGTGTTGTATTAAGACCCTGGGTGTTGTATTAGGACCCTGGGTGTTGTACTAGGACCCCTGGGTTGTACTAGGACCCTGGGTGTTGTATTAGGACCCCAGGATGTTGTGACCCTAGGTGTTGTATTAGGACCCTGGGTGTTGTATTATGTTGTACCAGGACCCTGGGTGTTGTATTAGGACCCCAGGATGTTGTACTAGGACCCTGGGTGCTGTATTAGGACCCCAGGATGTTGTACCAGGACCCTGGGTGTTGTATTAGGACCCCAGGATGTTGTACTATGACCCTAGGTGTTGTATTAGTACCCTGGGTGTTGTACTAGGACCCCAGGATGTTGTACTATATCCCTGGGTGTTGTACTAGGACCCTGGGTGTTGTACTAAGACCCCAGGATGTTGTACTAGGACCCTGGGTGTTGTATAAGGACCCCTGGGTGCTGTACTAGGACCCTGGGTGTTGTATTACGACCCCTGGGTGCTGTACTAGGACCCTGGATGTTGTACTAGGACCCTGGGTGTTGTACTAGGACCCTGGGTGTTGTACTAGGACCCTGGGTGTTGTATTAGGACCCTGGGTGTTGTATTAGGACCCCATTATGTTGTTAGGACCCTGGGTGTTGTATTAGGACCCTGGGTGTTGTATTAGGACCCGGGGTGTTGTATTAGGACCCTGGGTGTTGTATTAGGACCTCAGGATGTTGTACCAGGACCCTGGGTGCTGTACTAGGACCCTGGGTGTTGTATTAGGACCCCTGGGTGCTGTACTAGGACCCTGGATGTTGTACTAGGACCCCTGGATGTTGTACTAGGACCCTGGGTGTTGTATTTTGACCCTGGGTGTTGTACTAGGACCCCAGGATGTTGTACCAGGACCCTGGGTGTTGTATTAGGACCCTGGGTGTTGTATTAGGGCCCCAGTATGTTGTACTAGGACCCTGGGTGTTGTACTAGGACCCTGGGTGTTGTACTAGGACCCTGGGTGTTGTATTAGGACCCCAGGATGTTGTACTAGGACCCTGGGTGTTGTACTAGGACCCCTGGGTGTTGTACTAGGACCCTGGGTGTTGTACTAGGACCCCTGGATGTTGTACTAGGACCCTGGGTGTTGTATTAGGACCCCAGGATGTTGTACCAGGACCCTGGGTGTTGTATTAGGACCCTGGGTGTTGTACTAGGAACCCTAGGATGTTGTACTAGGACCCTGGGTGTTGTATTAGGACCCCAGGATGTTGTACTAGGACCTTGGGTGTTGTATTAGGACCCCAGGATGTTGTACCCTAGGACCCTGGGTGTTGTATTAGGACCCTGGGTGTTGTACCAGGACCCTGGGTGTTGTACTAGGACCCTGGGTGTTGTACTAGGACCCTGGGTGTTGTACTAGGACCCTGGGTGTTGTACTAGGACCCTGGGTGTTGTACTAGGACCCTGGGTGTTGTACTAGGACCCTGGGTGTTGTATTAGGACCCTGGGTGTTGTACTAGGACCCTGGGTGTTGTACTAGGACCCTGGGTGTTGTACTAGGACCCTGGATGTTGTACTAGGACCCTGGGTGTTGTACTAGGACCCTGGATGTTGTACTAGGACCCTGGGTGTTGTATTAGGACCCCAGGATGTTGTACTAGGACCCTGGGTGTTGTATTAGGACCCTGGGTGTTGTATTAGGACCCCAGGATGTTGTACTAGGACCCTGGGTGTTGTACTAGGACCCTGGGTGTTGTATTAGGACCCTGGGTGTTGTACTAGGACCCCTGGGTGCTGTACTAGGACCCTGTAGGATGTTGTACTAGGACCCTGCTGTACTAGGACCCTGGATGTTGTACTAGGATGTGGTACTAGGACCCTGGGTGTTGTATTAGGACCCCAGGATGTTGTACTAGGACCCTGGGTGTTGTACTAGGACCCTGGGTGTTGTATTAGGACCCTGGGTGTTGTACTAGGACCCTGGGTGTTGTACTAGGACCCTGGGTGTTGTACTAGGACCCTGGGTGTTGTACTAGGACCCTGGGTGTTGTATTAGGACCCTGGATGTTGTACTAGGACCCTGGGTGTTGTATTAGGACCCTGGGTGTTGTATTAGGACCCTGGGTGTTGTATTAGGACCCCAGGATGTTGTACTAGGTCCCTGGGTGTTGTACTAGGACCCTAGGACACTGGGTGTTGTACTAGGACCCCAGGGTGTTGTACTAGGACCCTGGGTGTTGTACTAGGACCCTGGGTGTTGTATTAGGACCCCTGGATGTTGTACTAGGTCCCTGGGTGTTGTACTAGGACCCTGGGTGTTGTACTAGGACCCTGGGTGCTGTACTAGGACCCTGGGTGTTGTACTAGGACCCTGGGTGTTGTACTAGGACCCTGGGTGTTGTATTAGGACCCCAGGATGTTGTACTAGGACCCTGGGTGTTGTATTAGGACCCTGGGTGTTGTATTAGGACCCCAGGATGTTGTACTAGGACCCTGGGTGCTGTACTAGGACCCTGGGTGTTGTATTATGATCCTGGGTGTTGTATTAGGACCCCAGGGTGTTGTACTAGGACCCTGGGTGTTGTACTAGGACCCTGGGTGTTGTACTAGAACCCTGGGTGTTGTATTAGGACCCCAGGATGTTGTACTAGGACCCTGGGTGTTGTACTAGGACCCTGGGTGTTGTACTAGGACCCTGGGTGTTGTACTAGGACCCTGGGTGTTGTACTAGGACCCTGGGTGTTGTATTAGGACCCTGGGTGTTGTATTAGGACCCCAGGATGTTGTACCAGGACCCTGGGTGTTGTATTAGGACCCTGGGTGTTGTACTAGGACCCTGGATGTTGTACTAGGACCCTGGGTGTTGTACTAGGACCCTGGGTGTTGTATTAGGACCCCAGGATGTTGTACTAGGACCCTGGGTGTTGTACTAGGACCCTGGGTGTTGTACTAGGACCCTGGGTGTTGTACTAGGACCCCTGGGTGTTGTACTAGGACCCCTGACACCAGGATGTTGTACTAGGACCCTGGGTGTTGTATTAGGACCCTGGGTGTTGTATTAGGACCGCTGGATGTAGTACTAGGACCCTGGGTGTTGTACTAGGACCCCAGGATGTTGTACTAGGACCCTGGGTGTTGTACTAGGACCCAGGATGTTGTACTAGGACCCTGGGTGTTGTACTAGGACCCTGGGTGTTGTATTAGGACCCCAGGATGTTGTACTAGGACCCTGGGTGTTGTATTAGGACCCTGGGTGTTGTACCCTGGATGTTGTAGGACCCTGGGTGTTGTATTAGGGACCCTGGGTGCTGTACTAGGACCCTGGGTGTTGTACTAGGACCCTGGGTGTTGTACTAGGACCCTGGGTGTTGTATTAGGACCCCTGGGTGTTGTACTAGGACCCTGGGTGTTGTACTAGGACCCTGGGTGTTGTATTAGGACCCTGGGTGCTGTACTAGGACCTTGGGTCTTGTATTAGGATCCCTGGGTGCTGTACTAGGACCCTGGATGTTGTACTAGGACTCTGGGTATTGTACCAGGACCCTGGGTGTTGTATTAGGACCCTGGGTGTTGTATTAGGACCCCAGGATGTTGTACTAGGACCCTGGGTGTTGTACTAGGACCCTGGGTGCTGTACTAGGACCCTGGGTGTTGTACTAGGACCCTGGGTGTTGTACTAGGACCCTGGGTGTTGTATTAGGACCCTGGGTGTTGTACCAGGACCCTGGGTGTTGTATTAGGACCCGGGATGTTGTACTAGGACCCTGGGTGTTGTATTAGGACTCTGGGTGTTGTATTAGGACCCCAGGATGTTGTATTAGGACCCCAGGATGTTGTGTTGTACAGGATGTTGTACTAGGACCCTGGGTGTTGTACTAGGACCCTGGGTGTTGTATTAGGACCCTGGGTGTTGTACTAGGACCCTGGGTGTTGTACTAGGACCCTGGGTGTTGTACTAGGACCCTGGGTGTTGTACTAGGACCCTGGGTGTTGTACTAGGACCCTGGGTGTTGTATTAGGACCCCAGGATGTTGTACTAGGACCCTGGGTGTTGTATTAGGACCCCAGGATGTTGTACTAGGACCCTGGGTGTTGTACTAGGACCCTGGGTGTTGTACTAGGACCCTGGGTGTTGTACTAGGACCCTGGGTGTTGTATTAGGACCCCAGGATGTTGTACTAGGACCCTGGGTGTTGTATTAGGACCCCTGGATGTTGTACTAGGACCCTGGGTGTTGTACTAGGACCCTGGGTGTTGTATTAGGACCCTGGGTGTTGTATTAGGACCCCAGAATGTTGTACTAGGACCCTGGGTGTTGTATTAGGACCCCAGGATGTTGTACTAGGACCCTGGGTGTTGTATTAGGACCCTGGGTGTTGTATTAGGACCCCGGGATGTTGTACTAGGACCCTGGGTGTTGTATTAGGACCCCAGGATGTTGTACTAGGACCCAGGATGTTGTACA